TGTGAAAAATAACGTTCCTAGGATGCCTCGTAGTCGTCTAGTACCGTAGGTTGCAATAAGTCCGTTGCTTCGCGTGTAGCAGGCGTTTGTAGCCTACGTGTGTAATTCATCGCTGTAGACGTCGGACCGTGTAGGATCGTGCTGTCCTAAGTAATTTCCATCTCGGTGTGTGGAGATTCGATAGAACTCGGAGTTTCTCTAGCGCTGATATATGGCACCTTTGGTGCCTGGAGAATTATAATGTTCTAGATGGTGTTTGCTTGTGCTTTAGGACTTGGTCGTGGTGCTTGCGTTGCAGCATGATTGGTTTGCATGTTTTTGGAACTGACTTCCTAAGTTGGAAGATGACTTGAAGTTGATTTGAGAAGCTAACGTGCTCTTGTGCTTGAGATGTTTTTGGTTGGTGTTTGGTTTTGATGTTTTGGAGACATGTGAGATACCGTATGTAAAGTGGATAGTTTCGTTTGGAAGTGTTTAACGAAATAGTTGATGTATTTTTTGGCTTAAAAGGGCCTGGGACTGGGAACTAGCTTCGGCGCGGAAACTTCCGCCTGGCTTGTTTACCGTCGGTCGCCGTTCGGTGCTCTGTGCGAGGCGCAAAGAGAGCTTAGCTGTAGCCCGCGGGGCGACCAGAGATCAAATTAAAGAGAAGAAGAAAAAGGAGAATATATAAAGTGCGAACTATTGTGTTTAAGTGCACAGTACTGGTACGCGTGCTCACTAGACGCTTCGGCGTTTTACATGGTAGCGGAGCACTTCGGTGCTCGTAGGAGAAGAGAGATCTAGGGACCTGAGACAGAAGAAGACGCGCGTAACGCGTAGCGTTCGGTTCGTCCGTTCGTGTGTGAGAAAAGTAACCAGTAAGCTGTGCACTTGTGGGAGAAAGGAAAACTTTCATTCTTCAAGCTTGAGTTGTGGAACGGAACAATCGCCATTTTCGCATCAGTTGCTTGAGAGAAGTGTGAAACTTTCCTTTGAAGCTTGAGTTGTGGAGCGTAACAAGCACCATTCTTGAGTTGCAGTCACGCGTGTGCTTTTGAGCTTGTGAGAAGAGTTAGACATTCTTTTCGAGCTTGAGATTGTGGAACAAAGAAACTCCTTTTTCTTTGAGTTTTGGGACGAACGTTCCAGTGACAGTTGAAAATCAAAGATGACGGATGATCTTCGAGTTGATTTTTCCTCGCTGAATCCGCCTCCGGTGACAGGGGGTGGGAGCAGCCTGGATGGAGAGAGGCCATCCGCTCGAGCGCGGACTCGGCCGTTCGAGGATGATGAAGAATTGGTACGTGACCAACAACCTAGGAGCCAGCCTTGCCCGTATCCTCCCGGTAGTCCGCCTACAGTGCCTATGCCTGGTCTTCATGACGTTATGGATAGCTTGAGACAAGTTGGAACAGTGTTGCAACAATTGTCGGATCGTATGGACCGTTTGGAACAAAATCAACAAGCGGGAACTCATCAACAAGCAACTCAACCAGCAAATCAGCAACACCCAGGTGTATGTCATCAAGCTGGTGTGAACTCGCAAATTCCCCCAATGCCACGTCCAGCAGGTCCGTTAGGTTGTGGCTACACTGGAGTGGGGTCGTCGTTGGGGCCTGTGGGTGGACCGCTTGGTGTGGGCGTCACGCCCAGTGCAGGAAGGAGTATGGATACTAAGTGGATTCCGTCAATGCCGATGCCCTGTGTGAAGGAATGGTCCAGTAGAATGAAAGAAATTTCTGGATTTAGGGGATGGGCAGAAGCTTTCAGTTCTTGGTTGTCACTACTTCATGAAAGGTATGGGGAAGAACTCAGGGAGGCCATCAACAAGGTCAGTGAAATCCGGATTGACATGATGGTTGATGCAGATCAACACCTTCGTTCTCAGAGGCTGTTGCATTTGCTGGAACAAGCGTTCCATAACTACCCTCGTGTTGAGAACTTGGTGAGGCAGTATGTTTTGCGAGTAGGCCAAGGATGCGCTTGTGGTTTCGAGGTTTTCCGTCTACTTCGGCAAGAGTTTTCGGTGCAGACCCGGAATGAAGTCATGAGTTACCGAAACAAGGTCTTGGAATGGAGTTCAAGTTCACGAAGTAATTTATTGGACATTGTCAGGATGTTTGAGGTTGAGGTTATGCAGTTTCATGGGATGCTGGATAGCACGGCCAATCCACATCTCATGAGCGATCTTCGGATTCGAGATGCGGACCTGTACTTGGTTCTTATGCGTAACTTGCCTGAAAGGGTCCAACTTCATTGTCAACTTCATGCTGGACAAACATTTTTGGACTTGAGACAATGTGTTGAAGATTACCATCATCGAACCAGGATCGTTTCGGACCATGGGAAGCTGGCCAAGTTGGACGTGGACCGCAAGGGCAAAGGTGGAAAGGATGGCAACAAAGGTGGAAAGGATGGCAACAAAGGTAGCGGAAAAGATGGCAAAGGTGGTTATGGCCAAGAATCTGGAAAAGGAAAGAAAGGAAAGGAAGGTAAGTCGGAGTCGAAAGGCAAGGGCAAGGGTGGTGGTCATGAAAAAGGTCAAGGTGATGCACGTCAAAGGTCGCCCGCTGGGAGTCCAGCTTCATCGTCAAAGAAGGGACCGTGTTGGTTTTGTGGAAAACCGGGACATGTGGCCGCAGAATGTTGGAAGAAGAAAGAAAAGAAATCTGACAAGACACGCAGTGTTGAGGGTTCGGATTCAGAGAATGGAGATTGTGGAGAATCGTCGGGATACGCTGAACCACTGATGGTGATTCATTCGTCGATTACAAGTACTGAGAGTAATTCGTCAGGGAATTCGAGTAGGATCCAAGCTGGGAATTCAGGTGCTTGTACTCGCGCCGGTGCGGCGTCGCGTGTTGCTGTGAGCCCAGAGCAGCTGTTGCGAGTGAATGCCAGTCAGGGTGTTAGGTGGCTAGTGGACTCTGGAGCCACATGTCATGCGGTATCTCGTAAGATGTTGAAGAAGTTCACAGTTCTCAAGCACTATAGGGGTGTGAATGCTTCACTAGTAAGTGCAAGTGGAAATGAGATTCCAACACATGGAGTTGTGGACTTGCGAGTGGAGTTTGGCGGACGTGACTTTGTTTTGAGTTTCGTTGTTGTGGCTGAGATGCCCTTCAATGTGATCTCATCGTGGGCGTTGGCTACCAAAGGTTGGGTGACTGTGCTGGCTGAGACCGATGAAGGATCGAAGCTTGTCTGCGAGAAGGCTCAATGTGAGATTGGCTTGCAGGTCGAGGACAGGTCGTGGTGGGCTGTCTGTAGTTCCGTGGTTGATCGGCCAAGTAGGTCTGGAAAGGCAAAGGCTGTTCCGATGGAGGTTGATGCTTGCGTGGCTGAGTTTTTGGAACAGATGTCCATGCTTGAAAGTCAGGACGCTGGTGAGGTGTCTGTGAGGTTGGCTACGGCTGAGGAGGTTGAACAGGTATCGAAACGAATTCCGAAGAGTGTGGAGAAAGCTGATGTGTCGTCCTCGAAACGAATTCCGAAGAGTGCGGAGAAGGCTAATGTGTCGTTCTCATCTCCAAAAGTTCAAACGTTTAGGCCGTCCAGTGGCTCCATGGGATCGTATTCGTATTTGGTTCGGGTGGTTGAGAGCGAAGCTGTTTTTGCCGCGCCTGTCTCTGGCGTGAGTGGGATTGAAGTGTCTGTGGATTGCCAGGGGAGCGTGTTTGAGCGTGAACACGGCTCTCGAGCCGACATGGTAGGTGGTTGGCTGTGGGACCTCAGTCCGTGTGGGAGTTTGGAACTTGAGCTTGAGAGTGTTGAGCCAGCGTATGCGGTGCAGTTGAAGAGATGCGTAAGCGGTTGGTTGTTTGTGCTTTGGATGTGGTTTGTCCTTTTGAAGAGTTGTGCACTGTTTTGGTATCTAGAGATGCTAGGATGTCGTTGGCATGTGAGAGTCAGTTTGTTTTCTTTGATCCCCCATGCCTTCCGCGCCCCGTACGGAGTGAGAAGAGCAGCGTTTGGTTTTGGGATGAGAGGCGATTCCGTGCTCAGTGTCACTGTTGTCGGACATGGACATGAGACTCAGTGGATGATATGGGTGCCAGTCTATTTAGGTTTTCGACCGTTGCTGTGTCGCTCAGCAGTCAAGAGAATGGGTACAGAAGATGTTGACGATGCAGCCCGGTCTGGGCCGCACTTTCGGCACCACAGAGGCTTAAAAACAGATATATTAAATATATCTGCCGTTTTTGAGGTGCTAATGCAGTTGCAGTCATGTCATGAAATCCGCTTGGATCGTGAGCCAGGGTCCGGGAGCCTCGTTTGTGAGAGAGTTGACATGATCCGTGGACTACCTAAAGTAGTAGATGTTGAGGCAGAAGGTGAAGGTGTAAGAGAACGAGAGCCGTTTGATCCGTTTGCGGATGATCCGTTAGATGGGGAGTACACTCCAACGGAGGCACCAGGTTCACCAGAAGGTTCACGTGATAAGGATCTAGATGTTCCGATTGACGTGGAAATGAGTGAACAGTCGGAATTTGAACCCGAGCTTGTATCGCCGCAGTTGGAAGAGAGTGTAGCTGCGTACGCACGTCATTGTTCAACAGGCCATTGGCCTTATAGTAGAGACTGTAAGTCGTGTTGTAAAGCTCGTGGTCGTATGCCTGCTCGCCGTCGTGAGAAGGAAGAACAGTTTTCTGTTGGAGTTGATTTTCTCTTTTTTGGAAATAAGATTCGTGTGTTCTTGGCCGTAGTTGTAAGTACACACATGATGTTTGCGCACGTGATGCGCCCGTCATACCACCGGAACGTGTCCGCGATCTCAGCGGGGATGGCGGAGATTGGGGCTACGGGCCAAGAGATTGAGTGGGTTGGAGATCAGGAAGATTTGTTGGAAAAGTTGTTGAGAGATGTTGCAAAGTATCAAACTTTTCCCGGCATTGGAGCGCATTGGAGACATGCCCCCGTTGGAAGAAAGCAGGGTTTGGTAGAACGATACGTTTGCATTTTCAAAGAGGGTGTGTTTTCGATTTGGATGAGCATGGAGGACATGTTAGGGTGTCGGGTGGCTTTGGAAAGTGACCTTTTTAAACTCTGTGTTCAGTATGCCGCGAGAACTCACAACATACATAACACAACTCGATGTTCCAGCGCAACCCCTCTGGACCGGATGAGAAATTCGAGTGAAGCCCCAAAACCGTCGACGTATCCTTTCGGGTGCTTGGGAAACGCTGTACCGAAGAACAAGGATGATCCTAGGTTTCGAGGTCAAAGGCTTGTTCCTATCGTGTATTTTGGACCACTGCGTTCAACTGGAGCCGGAACTTTAGGGATGTGTTTGGAACGTTTTGACGACGCGCCCAAAGTTGAAGAGTTTGGTAAGTTTAGGATGCAGGTTGGGGAACAAGGGAATCCTTTTGTGATGAGTCGTGAAGCCCTTGAGCCTGTTGCGATTCCTAGAGCGCAAGTTGCCCCTCCTGTTGAAGATTACCCCTCTCAGCCGCCTGCCCCGGCCGGCCTGCTTAAACGACGTCGGGAAGAAGGTTCTAGCGTGGAGCCTGAGCCTGTGACGGTGGAACCTGTTGTAGCCGCACCAGATGTTGAGATGGGAGCATCAAACGTACCTTCAGAAATTGGAGATGAGAGAATGGAATTGGACATGTTGATTGTGAATTGGCATGAAGCAGAACGCGAAAAGTTTCTTTTGAGAAATTTTGATGGGATGCCTTCGGTGTCAAAGGCTTCATGTTACAAAGTTGTTGAAACGTCTTTTTGTGGATTGAAGGTAGAGGTACCGATTCCGCATGATTTGAGAGACGAAAACACAGGTGATGCTCTGAGTCCGGAAGAAGTGTATGCTGCGGTACGGGTAGAACTCGACTCGTTGACCGCCCTTCGGGTTGGAAAAGGAATCCTTGAGAAAGAAGCGCAAAGGGTAGCCAAGGAAGCAGGGATTCGAATCTTGTCATCGCGTTGGGTCCTGACCCAAAAGTCGGAAGGACTCGCTCGGGCCCGTCTGGTTGTCAAGGACTTTAGGACGTATGGAAAAACACCAGTTTTGGAAGGTATATATTCCCCTACTGGAAGCATTGAAGGTTTGAGGATAATGCTGGCCTTTGGAGAGTATACAGCGTGCTTCTATGGAACCTTGGATGTCTCGACGGCATTCATGTTTGCAAATCTCCCTCAGGATTCATTGGTGCTCGTTCGGATGCCTCCCAGCATCCTTTCCCGAAATCAGAGGGTGACTTTGGTTCTTTGGAAGGCTATGAATGGTCTTAGGGAAGGACCGCTTCGATGGTACACCGAGCTGACTTCAGGGCTTGAAAAGGATGGCTTTCAGGCAACTGCGGAGGTCACGTTGTGGCGCCGCCAGGAGGGAGATGGATCGGTCACTAGTGTTTTGATCTACGTTGATGATTTGCTAGTATCTAATCCGAGTAAAGAGAGAGTTGAAAATGTCATGGTGGTGTTGGAAGGTAAGTACAAGGTAAAGAGAACGGGTTGGCTTTCTCAGGAGAATCCGGGACAGTTGAAATTTTTGGGACGTTTGTTGACCAGAGAGTGGGCGTATGGACCACTCACTCTGGGATTGTCGGAAGAGTATGTGGATGAAATTCTGCATGTATGGAATGAGAGATTGAAGCCTACTGAATCTCTACCAAAATTGGAAGACCTTCTGAAATCAGAAGAGAAGAAAGAACACGCACCATTGACCGCTGCGGCAGTTGAGAGATATAGGAAGGTTTTGGGCATGCTGGCTTGGGCCTCGGTATCGCGATGCGATTTGTTGTTTGTTGTGGGATTCCTGTCTCGAGGACAGAGTAGTCCTACTGGACCGTATGAATCGTGTTTGAGAGCGGTACTGAAATGGATTATGACTAGAAGAGCTGTTGTCCAAACGTTTCCTGCATCAGCGCCACCGTCGACTGTCTTAGAAGGGGAAGATGTGTTGATAGGTTATTGCGATGCCTCTTGGAACAACCCGTCGGTTTCAGGAGGAGGCATTAGCTGGAACGGTCATTGCTTGAAGATGTGGTCCAGGAAGCAATCAGTGCCAGCTCTATCATCGGCAGAAGCAGAACTCGCGTCGATGGTGGAGTGTTTGAAGGAACTCATGCATGTGGGGATTGTGTTGCAAACTCTACGTCAAGGTATCGTGTATGATGCTCAAGGAGCTCCAGAGAAAACGACGCATGACATGAAGATGGTATTGCATTGTGATTCAACAGCTGCAAACTCGATCAGTGGGATGATTGGATTGTTGCGGAAGATTCGTCATGTTGAATTGAGGGCAGCCTTTTTGCAGTACTGCGTTCGTATTCGAAAAGTTAAAGTTGTTTTCTACGAAGGAGCATTGCAACCGGTCGTTGGCTTGACCAAGACTCCGAGTGCCGTGATGTTGAAACATTTAGGAGACTTTGTGGGTTTGGAAATTGTTCGAAGTCTCTTGAACACTCCGGAGCCCGAATGTGATTCATGGATGGAAGAGGATATGTTTGTGATTCGAGTGCATCGTGTACCTCGTTCGGATTTGTTTGTTCCAGATGAATTGTCGGAACCACCTGTTGCGTTGGGTAGGATTGGAAAAATTCGTGAAACCGTTTGTGTCTTTGTAGATGGTGGTTCACCTATAGTCATTCGAGATGAATGGAGGGAATCGACCTTTCAGTTGGATTCTGGAATGAAACGGATGTGGACGGGAGAAACTCGTTTTGAGCTTCTAGAATGCATAGATGCCTTGGCTGACAGTGTTTCGAATGCGGCGAACCAGAAAACAGTGACATTTGAGATGTCACCAATTTCGCCAGAGCCTGGAACTCAGGACAGTTTGGGAAAGGAGAGTTTGTTTATGGTGAGTTTCCGTGAATCCATGGAGAAAGTTCAAGAATGGAAGAAATCAGTTGACATGCTATTTGGGCCAAACTTGCCTAAATTAGTGTTCGTTGAAGTTTGTTGTGCAAAGATGTCGTCTGTTCAAAAGGTTTGTGATCGAAGAAACCAAGAAGGGGATTCGATTTGCTATTTTGGAATTCATTCTGAAACGAACTTGACATGGAAACAGACTCAATGTGTTCTGGCACATGTCTTGAAGTTTTGCAAAAGGAAGAGACTTCCAGTCAGAATTCACTTCTCGACACCTTGTACATCAGGATCACCGTATATATTTTTGAACAGTGCAAGAAATTCAGGATATAAGAAACGTTTGAAGAAATTGCAACGTGTGCATAGAGATATCTGGAAGATATGTAATTCGCTGTTTGGACCGTTTGCTGGCTTGAGAACTTTTACCTTCTCGCAGGAGTGGCCTAAACATACGCTGTTGTGGAAAGATCCAATCTACGTTCGAAATGCTTCGGTATTCGGCATGTCATTTGAAGAACAGGTAGATCGATGTGCATTTGACAAAGTTTTTCATAGATGGAAATTCATGTGCTCGACCGATATTGGAGAAGACCTTGGAGGATTCTTCTGTATGCATGGGCCTCAGGATCATTTGAAGATGGATGTTACTTCGAAAGGATTTTATCCAATCGGATTGGCACGCCAACTGGTCCAGAGTGCTTGGAGAGCGGTTGAGGGATGAAATTCAGTTGCAGCTAGTGTACATTGATGTTGATATGTTTACGACTATTTCGGCAAGAAGGGGTGTGAAAAATAACGTTCCTAGGATGCCTCGTAGTCGTCTAGTACCGT